GTACCCTCGGGACTCCCGCCTTCTTCCAGCCTCCCGGCCCCCTGCTCAGAGCATGCTTGACATTAGGGGGCACGTGGGAGAAGCCAAGGTACTTTCATCCCAGCCCTGCCCTTTAACCAGCTGTGTGGTCTGGGCCACATCGCTGAACCTTTCCCGCCTCCGATTCGGTACTGAGAGTACAGATTGCAACCCGAGAGTGACACACTTGCAACAATTGATACCAAACTCGAGCTCACATACTCAAGTGGCACGGCAGGACAGCCAGTATCCACAACCAAACGGTGGCTGCCGCTGGGGATCCAAAAGGCCACGTTTCCGTGTCACCCTGTGCCTTACAGTGTGTCAGGGGTTTTTTGAGGGGGTGAGGGCTCGAGGTGGTTAAAGGAGCAATAGAAACCCTGTCTGCTTTTAAACTTTACTTCATACTTTTGGATTCTGGCTTTTAAACTTTACTTCATACTTTCGGCTTCTGGCAAAACGGTGGGGATGTTTGTAAAGGTTGCTCTGTAAAATCAGTTCTGATCAACTCAGGAGGCTTGTGAGTAATTTTAAGAATAGGTTGGTTAATTCGGGATAATTACTTCAAAGGAAAAAATGGGGAAATGTGCAGACTGCTGAGAAAGCCCCAGCAGAGTGAGCCCACTGGGTTCTAAGTTTGCTAGGGCGTGGGGGCAAAGAGAAAGATAAAGTCCAATGACTCTAGTTTTTTGTTTTTTGTTTTTTTTCCTCTGCATGTTACTCTAAGTGTGGTCTGTATAGGTTATTCTGTTCTTGTAGAAGAGTCAAACGAAGCCCAGTATGGCTAATGGTTAATTCATTGTCCATGTCCAGGGGCCACTAAGAGTTAAGAAGTGATGTTTCGTGGGTCCTCGTCATTTAGTTTGATGTGCTGTCTTTGATCATCCAAGAATGGTTAAGTTTTGTTTAGTTTACTTGACCTCAGATTAGATAGTAAAGAAGAATAAAAAAAAATTTAAAACAGTTTTATAAGTTATTTTTGGTACTGGAAGGGATAGTTTAAAAAATTAATTTACTTGTAGAGCCATTCATTAGAGCATGGTGGGCAAATGTTATATTTATATATGGCCACGTCTCTTTGGACTAGTTTCATGCTGTTGTAGCATTCTAATTCCTTGGTTTTGTACATGTCTCTATCACCCATGAAAGCAGCTGAGGCTGAGCTTTAGCCAGCTTCTTTCCATGACTCTTTCAATCCGAGTGTCCCTGCAGTGACTGACGCTGCACTTTCTCCAATAACTGCTCCTGGGCTTTCTTAGGAACTCTGATCTTGGCTCAGTTTCTGTTCATGGCCCCTTCTGTCCTGGGGTCATCACTAGAGCCAAGGCTGCTCTGTCCCCAGTGGCCTCCTGGCCTCTTTGCAGCAACTCTGATCCTGCCACATGGCGCCAAGCTTCAGCTCTCTCTGACTTCTTCACTCCCTCAAAAAGGAAAACTAACACATTACTAAGTTCATGTACTACCTTAAGATGAAGCCTTGGTCTCCTGGATCACAGCTTCCCAGAAGATTCCACCTCAGTGGTTCTGGTCTCTCACTAATCAGTCCTAGCTGGCCAGTATCCATTGTCCCCGTAAAGCACAGGTTTTACTTCAGTGGTTCTGGTCTCTTACTAATCACAGCTGACTCTTCAGCCCCAGTTAACCAGAAGCCACAGATTTTTTTTCTGAAGTTAGCTTCTCTGAATCATAAATGTCATCCCATTGCCTTATCTCCTCCCCATTATTTTGATAATTTTTACTTAGAAATCTGCTTTCCTATTTTGGTCATTTTTACTTACCTGTTTCTAAGTTTCACATATACATTTTTTTCCACAATGGAGTCTAAAATGATATGCATTTGCTTCTTTGAAACGTTTTGACTAGTTTCCAGAATACTGAGAGACAGAAGACATCGTTCCCATATCTACTTGGTGTTCCTTGCTGAGTATTTCATGGAAGATTTGTTTTTAAATTTATTTTTAGTAGAATTTGGATGCTATTGTTTAAAGTCAGTAAATTTTGTTTTTCAGGGATTTGTGTTTACTGTGCTCTTTCCAGGGAGACTGGTTTTTATAAAAGACATTTCCTGAACAGTCTAGGTGCCATGATCTTTCTTTTCTAATGTCATTGTCTCTGAGTATCCATCCTTCAACACACTTGTTGATCAAAGTTGAACATAGTTCTGTGGTTATGGCTCTATGAATACCCTTGACAGGTTAAAACGTTTAAGACCACTATCTTTAAGGAGTTGCTTAAACTTGTAGAGGATGGGTCTTTGTTTCACCGCTAATGTTTGTCAGTTGGTAACGCCTTGCACATAACTGAAAACTTGTGCACCACCTGGTTTCTACAAAAATACCTTTGTTCCCCTGAAGTGAGAGTATATTTTATTAAGATAGGTTATATTTTATATTTATATTTTATATTACTTTTTAAGCAGGCAAATATTTTTATATTAAAGAAAAGTATTACATTTTGCTCATCTAATTTTGATTATGGAATTGTATTGCTATCTTGGGGGGTGGGGCTGGCAGTCTCCAGCAGCACAGGGCTTTGATAGGAATCCACACAGTCAGCAAGGTTAGACTTTTCTGTCTGAGAGGGGTTAGGGAAAAAGGCACTCAAAAACTCTCTTGATGATTTCCTTTATTCTCCCTCTTTCTTTATTCTCTCTCTCTTCTCATTTTTTTTTCACAGCTTTTATACCCCAAGAGAATCTTCCAGTCAGTATAAGAGTTAAAACAGTTGCATTCCATTTCTCAAGTGAATGATGATAGGTAAAAGTATGTTTTTCATCTCACTCACATAATTAAACATTTTATTTATTTTAGGTGAAAAACAAATTATCCCAAGAGCCGACATACATCTATACCCAAGAAACTTGTTATAGATTAACCATGCGGGCAAGCAAGGTGTTCTTGTCAAGTCTTTTACTGGCAGGCTGCATTTTGTAGTTAAAAAAAAAAAGGACCAATTACTTTATTATTTATCTTGAAAGGTAATCTTATAAGGAATCACAAACCTAAACTTTTATATATGAAAAAGAATCCAGTCGGCTCTACTTTAAATCTTTAGGGTGCATATCCATTCATATATATATATGTATATATATGTATGTATGTATACACACACACACACACACACACACACACACACACTCACTCAGGAGATTGAGGGCAGAAAGGTGTATAAGGAATTAATGATCACCTTTGGTCATCAACCAAACCTATCAAGGAGAGTATATCAGCCTGTAATAATTGGGCTGCTTTGTTCTTGTTCCCTGACCTTAAAGAGTTCCACATTCAACTGTGTGACTTTCTAAAACTTTAGATTGTCTTCTTGGGTTTTTCACCTCAAAATTATTTAATGAAAAGACCTTAGTCTAACTTTGTTGTTCTCAAAGCTTTGTTTCAGCTGTGATGAACTCCAAGATACATGAACACATCTCCCAACATTAGGTTTAAAAGAATCTAAACTAGCTGAGCTACTGGGACTCAATTGTTAATCCTTAACTTGAGCTACATCCATGCAGCTCCTTAGGTGAAACTCACAGTCCCTGGTTGTGAAACATATCCTTGTATTTATTTTTATTCCTCAAAACTCAGTATAAGCTATAATTATTATCAAACTAGACAGTACAGATTGTGGGGCGATCATTTTCTTGACAATCCACAGGTATTAATGCCCAGCAGAATGGATGTTTCCAAGAGATTAGCACACTATATTACAGGCAGTAGAGATCGTCCCACGTCCACTCACGCCATGCTACATAGCAGAGAAAGGGAGCTGCAGCAAACATGTAAAGGCACAGCAAAAGTAAAGACATTCCAGGGTCTGCAGTCCCGTGGTCTTGCCTAAATGAGATTCCATCAGAGGATTCCCTTCTGGTGCGCTGTACCTGGAACTTCAGTTGCAACTCGCTGCTCTGCTGGCATGGCCAACTGCAGAATTATCACAGAAACAGTGAAGTGTCTTTGAAAATGTGGATAATCTTTGTCTTGGTGGATATGACTTCACGTAACTTCTTTAGGCAAATCTGAGGTGCACTTCATTCCCTGCATTGTGTTTTGAGGATTCCATAGTGATAAAGCAGTAGTCATTGCAGAAGTCATTCCTAGAGCCCATCCTACTTCTGTTTCCTCTTGTGGTGATAAAGCACCTTGGCAGAGCAATTTTGGGAGAGAAAGGCTTATTTGGCTTACACTTGCATATTACAGCTCACCACTGCAGTCAAGGCAGCAGGACATTGAAGCAGCTAGTCACATCCACAGCCAGGAACAGAGGAAAACTGAATGTGTGCATGCATGTTTCTCTTTGCTCTCTATTTTATTCAGTCTAGGTCCAAACCCATGGTATAATGCTACCTACATTCAGGATGATTCTTCCCATGCCAACCCAACTAAGAAAATCCCAGACAGGCATGACTGCTAACCAGCCCAGTCAAGACTGTTTCTCATTGCAACTGCCTTCCTAGTCATTCTAGATTGTGTCTGGATGATAGTTAAAATTAACCACTACAGATCCCCATTTTTACCACACATTTTTATTTACCATTTAAGATGTAGTTAACAATTGTAGGTAATAAAGTACGACATTTTTGCTATATAATGTGCCTTGTGCTCACTTACCAATAGCCCAGAAAGCTGCATAAGAACTCACTTAAAATACTGATATCAAAGTGATTCTCAATTTATAAAGTATTTCCTAAGAACGGAAGTCCCTATCCTTTCTTGCTTGTTTTCAGTTTTACTTCTAAATGTAGAAACCATTTTTTTAAATCTCTTAGAAAGGTTGGTCAAAGGACAGATAAAGGCAAATCAGTATTCTATCATATTCATTGAGTCGTAGGCCTTGCATTCTTTCCATTCATTGCTTACTTCTCCAAGCTTTTAGGATCCAACTCTAAATATGACATTCTTTCTTGAGATTCCAGGCTGTAGAGAGATAAATATTTAAACACATGAATGAGTAAAAGATAAATGCTAATTCCTCCTTGAAGGGCTGTGGCAGCTACAAACCAAACACACCACAGATGCATTTGCTTTGACTTCCAAGAGCATATTTCTCTGTTGCCTATTTTAGCTTTTCATGTGATCTGTGTATTTGTGCTTCTGGACTGCAAATATCCCCGTGTACTCTCTACAGTGTGATGTTGTTGTAACAGATGTTGCACAGCTCAGCAGCCAGAGATCCAGGGACTATGGCTCAGGCACTCTGGGCTACTGTTCCTTTTGAATTATAGCTACTAAAGATTTGTCTCTGCATTGTATATAGAAACATGAGGCAAAATTTAATGCAGTTTTTGCAGGTGTTCTGGGAGGCTTCTGAATTGCTAGCTAAATATTGTGAATAGTTTCAACCTATCATTTCAACAACTACCTAAACTATTGAAAAGTTCTTGAGTATAATGTATTTTAATATGGAAAAATAAGGCTAAACCATAAATATTTGAAAGCAATGTAGAAACCTTAAATGTGACCTTTGATCTCGTATGAACAACAACAACAAAAGAGACACATGATCATTACTATTTAGAACTATGAAACCTTAGCCTCATTTTTGCCAATGTGTTAATTCATCTCTTTAAGTGTGGCAATTTTGGAGAAATTCATGTATAAGGCCACATTTTTTAAAATGACATCTTTAGGGCTAAATGAAAAGATTCTTGCTAAAGTTCAGAAGTACTTATTATTATCAGCAAGGAGTAGTCTCGATTGAGCTGGGAATGGGCATAGAGGAATGTATCACAACAGACTGTTTTTTAAAATAATGTCTTCCTGGCTCTGCAGCTGTTATTGCAAAGCGCATTAAAGGTGCATGAGTTTTGTACACTTCTAAGTGGGAACACCAGCTCCCTGTTGCCTAGGCCTGATTGGACTAGTTCAAAACCCATAGCTTGCACACTTGTTTTCTAGTCCTATCAGGTGATTATTGAAGGATTATTATAATGCTTCAAGAAATAGATCAATGAAGATATCTAAACATGGGGCTGGAGAGATAGCTCCATGACTAAGGGAGCTTACTGTCCTTTCAGAGGACCCATGTTTAGTTCCAAAACCCATGCCAGGTCGCTCACAACCCCTTTGTAACTGCAGCTCTAGGGGATTCTGATCTCTGTGTTCCCAATCCCTAGGACTCATCTGCACATACCCACTCAGAGACACATAATTAAAAATAATCTTAAAAAGATTATTGTACCCATATCTATATAATAATAACAGCATACATTATTAATATATAGTAATATCAAGCAAGCCTATGGAAAATTGAAATTGGTAAATTACTATACAATGCAATTTTGGTACTATTTTGAGTCACTAGAATAGAGGAGCATTTATAATTTTTTTCTTAAGAGACAGGTCTCACTATGTAACCCCAACTGGCTTGGAACTTGTTGGATAAACCAAACTGGTCTCAAAGTCAAAGAGATCTGCCTGCTTTTGCCTCTCAAGTGCTAAGATTAAAGATGTACGAAACTATGTCCTAGAGGGCAGCATGGGCCGGGCAGCAGTTATAACTTTGATACTGTCTTTGAAACATGTATACATGGTTGGGTCTTTATCTCACAGGGTAATGAAGGGAAAAGCCCTACTGAAATGGTAAGTGAAACACCGTGTTCCCCAGCTTTCAGCACCCGTGGAAAGGTTGTTGCTGAAGCATCCTTTTCAGAGAGCTACTGAGTTGATGGAGACACCTGCTAGTGATGGAAGCCATCCAGAGGGACTCTTTGCATACCTCACACAGGAGAGAGGACCAGTCCCACAGTGTGCCAGTGAGAATCACCTCAGCAGGTACCCTTGCTATTGGCAGAGCCAATCTCGTTTCTAATTTCCAAATCAAGTGCAGTCATCATTCAAGAACATCCTTCTCACATTTAGTGTTCATTCATTATACCTGCATAATCTGATTATTAAAATGTTTATTTGGCAGTGTAGAGCAGTTGTCAGTATTACTATTAGTTCTTTGATTGCTTTACCTTTTGAGACAAGGCCTCACTGTGCAGCCCAGGCTGTTAAGAACTCTCAGGCTCCTTGTCTCAGCCTTTCTTAGTCTGGGATTACAGGTATGTGGTTTAAGTTTTTACTCTTAATGAAAGCAATAGAAAAGCCAGCCCAACCTATTAGTCATTTATAGGGCGAATGTTATTGCTTATTATATTGTTGTGTAACAAATAATTATCATGTTTTGCTTTGTTTGAATTGGAAATTTACTTGTTATTTGTGTGAATTAATTTAGTGTAGTAATCTTAAAATGTCATCGTTGTCATTACAGGTAGTATAGTCTAGCTTCTAGTTTAGCTGGCAGAAAATGGAAAATAGTCTTTCATCAAATGTAATTGATTTTCTGACCATGGTTTTGAATGAAGGGCAGTTATTTATCATAAGCTTTTGACATTAAGCCAGTGGTACTTAAGAACAAAATCCTCTGCCTTCTGCTTGAAATATATAAATATATGCAAGATGCCAATAATTTAATTTAATTTGTGTGTGTGTGTGTGTGTGTGTGTGTGTGTGTGTGTGTGTGTTTATTTGTGCTGTGTAGATCAGAGGACAATTTTCAGAGTCTGTTCTGTCCCCCCACCATGACTTCCAGGGTCTGAAGAGATCTCCAGGCCTCACAGCTAGTGTTTTCCTACTGATCCGTCTTTGTGGCCCCATCAGTTCTGAATGAGTATTTAGAAGGCATTCTGTAAAGAAACAGTACCAAGCAATGAAAGGCAGAATGCTCTCACAGAACTTGCTGTTTTGTTAATAGATATTGAAAAAGATTCTTTAACGTTTAGTTATACATAGATTTTATTTATTAAAAATTTAAAGATATGTTTGTTTTATATATATGAGAATTTGTGGTGCTGAGGACAGAACCTGGGTCCTCTGCAAGAGCATCTATGCCCTTAACTGCTGAGCCATCCCTCCAGCCTAGAGATAAATTTTATATGCACATAATTTATGATCCCATAAAGCAGAATGTAAGGAAGATGAATTATTCGCTTCCCTGTACTCCAGGTCCACTTTTTTTTTTTTTGCCTCTGCTCCGCCCACCTTTGGCCTGCATGCCTATAGGCCTGGTGATTAAGTCTTCCCCCCTAGGGCATCTGTAAATTAAACTCATGTCAGTCTGGAGGCAGGCTTGTCTGTTCTTGTCTTCTATTAAAGTCTCCAGTGTATGTTAGGTGTAACTGAAAGTTTATTTGTCTCTTACTAGCCTCAAGCAGGACATCTTAATTGACAAGATGGAGCTGGAGGCAACACTTAAGGAAGCTGAGTTGGCAACCTGCTCCGTAGAGTTACTTATGCCGTTATTTAAGAACACCGTGGAAGGAATTAGTTTAGAAAATGTGAGTGTTGGACTTAGAATGGCTAATGAGATGGAAAGTGAGCATAATATCCAGAATGGCCTGACTAAAGGCTCAGATCTTAATGGGAATGCCCGTAAATGGGGACATGATACCAAAACTGGGGGGAGGGAGATCATTCTTTATTCCTGTCATTCTTTTCTTAAAAGGCAGACCTCTCTCAGACATGCACTTAGTAAGAGACTAAGCTGGAAACTACAGGTTGAGCCGTGACTTACCTTGAACTACAGAATGAGATTTTCTGAAGAGTTGATTTAAACTACAATTGGGGGCTGGCGAGATGGCACGGTGGTTAGCAACGCTGGCTGCGCTTCCAGAGGACCTGTCCCTAACCCCATTGCAGCAGATCTGATGCCCTCTTCTGGTCTCCATGGGCACCAGGCAAACATGCAGGCAAAACACTCATTCACATCAAATACAAATCAGGGCATCTTTAAAAAAGTAAGCTCGGAGAGATGCCTTTTACCTGTTGTCTGTGCAGTCATTTGGGACAGAGACAACTGTACAGTTTCAACGAAACTTCACTTTGGTCCAAGAACAGATTGTGCTCTGTGGTTTAGTAGACAAAATACTGCATAGCTGTGGTGTTGTACAACATGTTTTATTTTAACATACCATCTAGTGTATTGTGTCTGCTATGGGTAACTTGCCAGGGTTCACCAGTACTACATGCAAAATAATGATTTTCATTGATACTAGGAAAGAGTTCCTCATTGATGATATCATTCTAGCGTGTTTTACTTAGTGCTATTTTAACATGTATTTATGTGCTTCTTTTATTTTGTCAGGCTAATCTTTCTGCATCCAGCTTGAAGAAGATTTTTCAACAGCAGGAAATATTATCAAAAGAATTAGACACTTTTAATCGTGTGAAATTATCCTTAGAACATCTCCTTAAACAGACACACTATGGACAAGTAAGGCACCTGTGCTGTGTGCTCCTGTGCTGATAGTGATCCCCCATAAGGAGTGCTCCCATGCTGATAGTGATCCCCCATAAGGAGTGCTCCCGTGCTGATAGTGATCCCCCATAAGGAGTGCTCCTGTGCTGATAGTGATCCCCCATAAGGAGTGCTCCTGTGCTGATAGTGATACTTCCCACATGGAAGATATTTTATTTCTGTAACTGAATCTTGAAGTAGTGGTATGTTGAAATGGAAGTAATTCTTTGATTTTTTTCTTTGAAATATAATTACTAAACTTGTAAAGTCTAAACTTCTTACAGTTTAAGCTCCCGTGTGTATCATTGTGTAGCCCTCCCCCCATAAAAGGTTCTGTATACATGGCTGTACTGTGAAACGGCCCACCAGCTCTCCTGTCTCCTCTCTGCAACTTAGTTCTCATTGACTAATCATTTCTGTCCCCCTGTCTCCTGGGTACGAACTCTGACGTATGGTAACTACCTTTTCACTCCCAATTTCTATAAAATCAGCTTTTATATTCCACATATGAATGATATGATCTTGCCCTTTTGTGTTTGTTTTCTTTTACTTAACACATTTTTACTTTTATCTATAGTAAAGCAAATGACCGGATTATTTTTTAAAATGGCTGAACAGTATTCCGCTGTGTATTTACACCTATATGTGTTATCCATCCACCAATCGATAGACACTTAAGTTGTCTGGGCCAATTTATATTCTCACCAAATAGTATGTATGAGTTTCCTATTCTCTATAGCCCTGCCAGCCCTTTCTTATTTTTCATAACCTTTTCATTCTCAGTCTGGTTTTAATTTGCTTTTGTCTGATGATCAGTGAATTGAGCACTTCCCTGTACCTATTAACCATCTGTATCTTTTTTGAGAAATGTCCTTTTAGATGTATTGATGAATTAAAAGAATTTATTATCTTATTCAATTTATTTTATATTTTCTTTGTTCTATTAGCATTTATTAATTGTATTAAATAGTGGGTTTCAATATGACATTTCAAACATGTGTATAATGCATTTTGATCATTCAGTCCTCTAGTACCATATCCTGTTTCCTCTTCCCAGTGCTAGAATTTAGAGTTATAGTGCCTCTTTCTAAACAGTATTCTGAGACTCATTAGAAAATAAGTGTGTGTGTGTGTGTGTGTGTGTGTGTGTGTGAGAGAGAGAGAGAGAGAGAGAGAAAGAGAGGGAGAGAGAGAGAGAGATTTGTATATGGGCCTATACTTTCTTTTTGAGATTAATTTAGCAAAGTAACTGATCAGAAATTATATGCAAAATAGTTTTGGGCACTCAGGCAGAGAGTTTACCCAGTAGAATCTGTACTGTGCACAGTAGCTGTCCATGTTGGCCTTTTAAAGGATGCCTGCGCTATGTTTTATTCTTTCCTTCCAAAGCACATACATGTACACACAGTGAAGGATTGCACACAGCATTTCAGAAGTGTATGTATCTCAGATTCCACAGAGTCCATCTTTGGGCCCTGTAACTATCCACAGAGCCAAGTTAAGATTTCTTACATTAGTTTCCAGAATTAGTTAATAATTTAAGGGCTGGGGAGTTAGGTCAGTGGCACACTGCTTAACTATCACATACCATGCCCTGGTTTCAATCCTCAATGAGGGAAGGGAAGAGAAGGAATTAGGACATTGGAATGGATGAGGTTTTTTTCTAAGATACACAAAGCAAATGAAACAAATCAAAAGCAAAATATGTAAATCCGATTACATTAAACTAAAAAGCTTCTAAATGAAGATAACAAACAGCATAGAGGCCATCTACAACATAGGAGAAAACATTTGCCAGCCATACTTCTTGCAGAGAGTTGATATCAGTAGAAAATGAACTTCCGAACTTGACAGACAATAGTCATGTTTATAAAAGAGAGATGTGGTTTTAAACATTGACATTTAGTATTTCTCCCTCACAGACAGGAGCGAATGCACCCAGCTTGTTGAAGGACCTCAGTGACAATGAAAGTGAGAATAGTGTAAGTCTTTCCCCACTTGACAGCCATTCTTGGCAACATATTTTGCTTCTTTGTATGCTGCTTGGTTTTAGCCAGTATTATCTGCATCCTTAATTTTCTAATTCTTCCTTTGTATTTCCTGAAGAATCTTAAAAGGAAGGTACTTGAAAAAGAAGCCTATATTGGAGAACTTTCATGTCTGTTTCAAAATGAAAAGGTAAACACATTCTGAGTTTTTAACCTTAACTTTTATTTTGTTAGTATTAACCTTCCTCCCACCCTGGTCTCATAGCCTCAGCTGTGAGCACAATAAAGGCTTTTTGACAGTTTAGGTCAGTATGGATTTTTATGTATCAAATAGAACATCTTAACTTTTTAAGTTGTTTTTTATTTGTTTGTTGTTTAGTTAGTTTAGTTTTTATGTTGCTTAGGCCACTGACTTAAGTCAGCACAAATTCTATACTTCTGGGTTGGTGATGGTCAGTCGGAAGACCAGAACCTGAGTTTAGTCCCCAGAACCCTTGTAATTCTGGTCCTGGAAAGGCAGAGAAGGAAGGATCCCTGGGGCTTGCTGGCCAGCCAGACTAGCCTAGTTGGTGAGCTCCTGGCCACTGAGGGGGTCCGTCTCAGGAACTGGATGATGGTCCTGAAGATGACACCCAAGATTGTCCTGTGACCCGCACACATGTCAGACATGTGCATGTGTGTGTCTGCATGTATCCCGACACCTGTACACAGCTGAGAACACATGCAAATACACACATTCACATTTAAAAACTATAGGTTTATATTTTTATTTCTTTGGAAAAATTAAATAATTTTGGAATTTTGTACATTTTGTACATACTGAAAGTGTTCCTTGGGAGGAGAGAGGGTAAGGTTTGCAGGAGACCATTAGAAGGCATTGGATACATGTGGGAGCTTTCCATGGTGTGCAGCACATGGCAAGGAGAACCCTGATTCACCATCTGCTCTGACAAAGACAAAGGGACACAGTATCATTGTTGTTACTTTTCTGTTCTATTGCAGGAAAGCGCTTTGAAAGCAAACCGGTTTTCTCAGTCAGTCAAAGTAGTGCATGACCGTCTGCACCTCCAGATTCAGAAAAGGGAAGCAGAGAATGATAAGTTAAAAGAGCACATGAAGGTATGCATATTCATATTTATAGTCGAAGTAATAAGATCCATGAAAAACTAACTTTAATGACCTTGCTTAATTGTGGAATGCAGTGATGATAAAAGAATGTAATTTTGGTGTTTCCGAGGAAAACCCTGAACATAAATCTTAATCATAAAGTGTTCAGCCTTCTGAATATTTAGGTCCAGATCCCTGCATGAAAATTTTCTTTTTACATTTCAATCTAGGAAGATTTGTAGCAGATCTTTCTTTGTATTACTAGCTCTCTAATGACATGGAGACTTATTAATTATGAAGCTTGGCCTTAGCTTAGGCTTGTTCCCAATTACATCTTAAACATGAGCTACCCCTTTGTGTTACTCTTTGTTCCGCCACATGGCCAATTACCTCTCCTCAGTACCATCAGGCCTACTTCCTCCTCGTCTGACTGGAGACTCTTGCAACTCAGAATCTTTCCCAGAGTTCCGATCTCTGCCTGGAAGTGCTGCCTATCCTCTCCTGCCTAGCTATTGGCTGTTCAGCTCTTTACTAAACCAATCAGAAGGTGCCTTAGGTGGGTAAGGTAAAACAGAGACATCTTCACAATGTACGAAAAGATTATCCCAACAGAGATGTTAAATCTTTTGAATCTCTCTCATCATGTGGTTGATGCATGTTTACTGTGGACAGTCTGTAAATTTTAGAAATGTAAGTTAAAATAACTGAAGGACACCAGACTATTGCTAACATTTGGTTGCATAGTGTTCCAGCCTTTATTGCATAGTTTCACATGTTTCTAATAGGCCATCAGTAAGTTGTTTTTCCTGCTACCAATTATAATGATTTTGAAATGAGGTTAGTTTTTGCATTCAGAGTATTGAGCAGTTCCCTTTGTGTTTGTACAGTTAGAAGGAATGTTTGCTTTAAAATGGTCCAGTCATTTTGAGGCCAGAGCCTGAGGGTGCTGTTTCATGTCACAGTGTAATTGGATCCACTATCTTATTTGTTGTCAAAGGAAAAGAAACAGTGTTCCTACCTTGAGAGACTTCTACAGACCAAGAATGAGGATGTCTAGGTAGACCTCAGTTTGTTCTTCTGGTCACAAGTCATACAGACATCTGCAGCCTGTGGCACCTGCTGAGAACTCTACTTGTCCTTCCGTGGCAAAGACTTTGGCCTTTCTAAGGACATTAAGCAGGGTTATGGAGGATGTAATTTGTTTTAGGCAATTTCATACGTGTGTCTGGATTCTGGTTACGCTCCACCTGCCTTCTCCCTCCCTCCCATCTTTCTCATCCCGCCCTATCCCTATTGCTCCCTTCCCTAGTTAGGTGACATTCAGTTTTGCTTTTAGTTTAGCCATTGGATTGGAGCTATCCTTCAGAGCCTGGTCAGAGTCAGTGAGGTAGCCAACTGAGGCCATTAATATCCCCTCTACTGGACCTTGTCAATAGGAAATAGTCATTCATTCTCTGTACCTGTTTGTCCTATCACCTCCCGCCACAGTCCTCATGGATCTCTTGGCTCTTTGCATGGGTGAGATGGGAGCGCTGGCCGGTGTGCTGTGCTGGCACCACAGGCTACTAATGTGCCCTAGGCTGTCACCTACTCCATATTATCTTCCACAGTGTCCTCAAAGAGCAGTTAAGGATGCTTTCTTTTTAATTCTAAGTGAAATAATCAGTTATTTTCGAAGACAATCTTAACAGTAGTTTTCGTTTCTTAAATACATTTGATCAACCTGGAGACAGAACATCATGCTAACATCCAGAGCGCTGCTGTGGTCCTCCATTTTGATCTGATGCTGAGTGCGGGTCCCTCGGCACTGCCGCTCCTAAGGGACACTCAGAAGCTGGCTTTAGGGTCTTGCTCTTCTGCTTTCCTCACACACAGTTTTATTACATTTTGAATTTATTTGCCTGCATTAATTATATTATGTAAAATAAATACATAAGATTTGGGATTTAAAGTAGTGGATAATGTGACGGGGTCAGAATTCAGTTGCTGGATTTGGGGTTTAACAAGTTTATTTTTTTGAAGTGTAGAAACAATTCAGACTGACAATATCAGGTTCTTAGTTGTTGTCATTCATTGGGCCTTTAAAAAATTTACATTGTATACCTTTCGGAATGTCCCCAAAATGCTTTGATCCAATTTTTCTTCCTAAGTTTTTGTAGCATGTCAGCTGGAGTTAGAGTATCTTTGGAGGAGATAGTGAATACTGATCTGTGTGACAGGTTATATGTCCTGCTGTGCCTGCACACATACACATGCACAGTAGGACTTATGTGCAGTCCTACTGTATAACCTGTTCTGTGGACACACATAATACGCACGCCCATCCACTTGGCAAATGGCTGAGGGTTGCAAATTAAGAAATGATTTGCCAATTTCAGCCTGCCCCTGGGCTATTGAAGTGCAGGGTTGGAGATGTATGCAATGTATTTTGGTTATATCCACTCCCAACCACCTCCACCCTCCAACACGAGCCCTTGAACCTTTTGGCCTCTTTTTAATCTTCCTGTGTGAGAAGCTTTTAAGCAAATGCACACACACTGCATGGTGTGGCGGCGACACCATGTGGCCGTCCTCAGGAGTGACTGGTGCATTTCTTGTGGGCGGGTCCTTTCTTGCACATGGACTTGACCTTCTAGTTAGTTTTTTCCAATTATTTACTGCAGTGCTCCATGAGACTTTTTCTTTTTTTGTCTGTTTGTTTAAGATAAATTTGTAGAGGCAGCTGAAGAGATAGTTGCTGCTTCAAAGTTTACCCAGCCAGTCTGCAGAGATGAAATCCAAAGACGTGAGTCTTAATGGTAATATTAGTGGAAGTGAAGGGAAACACAGCTTATATTGGTCACAGGATAAAGCAGAAAAGCCTGTCTGCTGCTGGGAGTCCTAGATTTACCTTCAGTTGAAATGGCTGCCCCCGCGAATGGGAACAGCAAGCACGTATTCTGTGATTTCAGATTTAACATGTATGTAATTTGAAAAACACAAAAGCATAACGATCTCTAGTCATTACTTCTTACATACTTAATGTTCATTAATATTTACATACAGCGCTCATTGCTCAGATACTTAGAAAAATTTGAAGGGAAAATGTAACAGTTGTCACACCAGACCACTCTCTCATATTTTATGAAGAGCGTGTCAAAGAATTGGTCCTGCCAGTTAGCACCATCCTGTTCAGTGGCTGCAAGTCTGCCCTTAGACATCATTTGAACTGATTCATCACGTTGTGTGGCCTGGTAGCCAGTGATTTATCTAAACTCTGCTTTGCCTTGGAGTCCATCATTCTATAAGTTTGCCTCTACTGGGTAAAGCAGTACTTTTACTCTCTTGGCTGTAATCTGCAGATACCTTCAGCTCCTAAAGTTATGTTTGGTCACTGGGTCTCTGCATGTCCTGTCTTCATCTTTCATGCCCTGTGCATCTTGTCATCTGCAGTGCTCCCATACCGAGGACTGAGACCATGTTTTCAACTGTTTTTTGTTATATTTCACATGTGAACTAAATGATGTCTTATCCCAGGAGCTTTAAGGAAGCTGATATTTCTGCCATAATCACAGTTAGTCTCTTTAGTCATAATACCATAAGTTTTTATGTATATTGAAATATTTTGAATTTTCATTTTTTACTTGCTACAAGAAGTTTTGGCTTACCGCTGTTATAACTTTTTAACTATTCATGATCAGTTGTTTTGATAACAACTGTGTGGAAGAGAACATATGTGTTTTTTGAAACATTTATATGAGCATTGAAGCTCTGGTATAATTTGATGGCTTTTAACATTTTTCAGGGCTTGGAAACCCAAATAGCCAAGTGGAACTTGCAGGTGAAAATGAATAAGCAGGTGGCTGTAGCCATCAAAGAAGCAAGCAGGCAGAAAACTGCAGCCCTGAAGAAAGCATCCAAAGTTTACAGACAAAGGCTGAAACACTTCACAGGGGACATTGAACACCTCACTGCCCAGATCCGAGATCAGGTGAGTGTGCTTATTATTGTATTAGATGCTTCATGTGCTCAAATGTCAGGCTTAGAGATCATGGTTAGTCAGACAGCATAGTTAGATAGTATAGTTAGTCAGACAGCATAGTTAAATAGCATAGTTAACTAGATAGTATAGTTAGTCAGACAGCATAGTTAGTTAGATAGCATGGTCAGACAGCATAGATAGTATAGTTTGACAGCATGTTAGAGAAATAACATAGTTAGTTAGACATTATAGCTTGTTAGATAGTATAGTTTGACAGCACAGTTAGATAGCATAGTTAGATAGCCTAGTTAGACGGCATAGTTAGCATAATTAGACAGTATAGTTAGATAGCATAGTTAGTTACATAGCATAGTTAGTTAGATAGCATAGTTACATAGCATGGTTAGTTAGATAGCATAGTTCGTTGGATAGCTTCGTTAGTTAGATTGTATAGTCAGTTAGCCTAGTTAACATTGTGAAGCTTTAGATAATGGTGTTATTCTTATCTGTGTTACTATTAATGCTATAAAACTTTACTCATCATTTTTGCTTTAGACTTTTATTTTGAAAGATATATCATAAAATGCAGAAAAATGGACTCATCTTTTTTGCTTTAGACTTTTATTTTGAAAGATGATATATCATAATATGCAGCATTTGAATTATATAGCACGTTTGGGGACTTATTAATGGCAATGTAAGTGTATACCATGCCCCCTCCCCAATACACACACACACACACAGCAATAGCTCTCAGGGCTAGCTAAGAGTAAGGCTTCCTCCATCCTGCCCCCTGGAAAGTTACAGTGCATATTAACATATTAAAAGCCCTGAAAGGCTTTCAAAGGGCGGCAATGAGGGCATGGAAGTAAGAATTTCCCACACTTAACCACAGAACGCTTCTTGTACCCACAAAGCTGCTCTTGGAAATGGTTCTGAGGAATATCAGTTTGGGAAATGCTGATGTATGTTATTAGACCATATGACTTTATTCAGTAATTCCCTTCATTTAACCTCTGCAATGCATTTGGAACCATGTGCTGACGTAAACAAAACATGTGAAAGATATCTTTGAGTATAACGCAGAGCTGAAAAATAGACTTAGTGCTTTGTTCTCCTTGACAAATCATTATTCTTCTTCACTTGCCAACCAATAGAATATTCATTGTTTCTGTGGCTCACTAGTGTCCTACCTCTTAAGAACGTATGCTAAGGCTTATAGATTTATTAGTGACTTTGGGAAATGAAAACAGACTCATATAAAAGCTTGTACAAATAAAACAAGGTAATATTTTGTAAGCCCAAATGTCACCATTTTAAGGCTCTAATATTTAACTTACACTCACTTGAGTATAACTAGATATTGAAGACTAGGCTCAGCGCCTACAAGGTCATAGCTGGCTGAATACCTACAGCTGCTTGGAGTGGTGGACACTAATCCTGGCATGATGCCCTTGAGTCTTTCCCACTGAGTTAGCTTCCTGGACAGGCTCCTGCACTGGTTAGCCCTGGTGATTTTGCGAAGGCGGTTAGCCTCTGTGACTTTCACTTCTTTCATTAACTAGGACGTAAGGACACAGCTCACCTCAAGTGACTGTAGGAGCATGCATGAGAAAACAGACAGGCTGCTCCATGCTGCTCTCTCCTGCCCTGTTGATTGGCTGCTGCCTCTGGCTTTACGTTCTTCCTTGCTCATTGTTACTGGCTCTTTTCCCTCTAATCAGTTAACTTTTCAGCTCCTTCTCTCCAGGGAAAGCCTTCTCTTACTACTCAGTAGCAAACCTTTCACAATTGATCATATTAATGTCTTAATTTTGTGGTGTTTATTTCATTTTCCAGCTCTCTCATGTTTTCCTGTTCTCAAGGATATCTTAAGCTTGAACACAAATGAGTTCAACAGTGAGACATTTTGTTGAATCCATGTACATGCAATACAACCCAGAGAAATCAAGGAGGAAGGGGGGTAGGAAGAGTCCGTGGGTCTGCAGGAATTAGGAGCTGCCATAGTTCAGAAGCCATCCCATTGCCTTGGGAGGCGAGGGGCTCTTGCTATGTGTCTTCCCATAAGGACATGTGGAAGAAGAAATGAGGATGTTACCTATATAATACATACATTTCTTTCATGGGTTTAAGTCCTCAGTATCTTACATGATATACATGATCATATGAACTGACTTTATAGTATATGTTATAGCCATCTCTTATTTCAGAATTTGTATTAAAATTTTATTTTACATAAAATATGAAATAAGGTACCAGTCTTCAGTGTAACAGACATTTCTGTGAAAAACGTAGACAATGTCTTGTGCATGTAAAATGACCAGTATTCTGTGAATGAATGAATGATAGGAAACAGGAAAGTAGTATGTGAACTGTTGGGGATCCTCTGATTCATGGTTAACTGGCATTCTTATAACCAGTGAGCTTGCCTCTCTGTAGAATGTGGACAAAGCCACAGAGTGGTGCAGAGAGCCATTGGCATTTACTGCATGTTCCTTCCTGGCACCATTCAAAACCCTACAAACAGCGATGAAGCAAACACAAAAGTCCTCCTTTGTGAATCTCACATTCAAACTGGCTGAGCCACTGCTGCTCCTCTCTGCTGACAGGAACAGTGTTGGCAAGCTGATGGGCTTGCATTTAGAGAGCCATGAGCTGTAGAATTGCAAATGTTTCTGTATGTCATGGGAAACTCTCTTCACACATGTATATGGTTGTTGGCTCTTCGGTGTAAAGAATGGGAAATGAAGATGCAGTCATAAGTAAAATAGAAATTATTTTATTAACTGTGAAATATTACTTAAAACTTGTCACATCACCATCTTAAAATAGTAAGTTATAACTTTACTGTATGTACATAAAGTAATAGTCAGATGGGTATTTTATTAAAGCTTGCTTTAGATTTTTCTGTATTGGAAGCTGCATACCAAGCTTCTCTACAAGAAAAGTTATGTGTTTGCTGGAGGAATGTTTTCATATTTACAGTGCATCTGTGTCTAAGACCTGTAAAAAACACAAGATGAATGCTTTCTGTATTTTTAGGAAACCAAGTTGTCTGAAACTGTTTCAGCTTCCAATGCCTGGAAAAGTCATTATGAGAAAATGGTAATAGAGAAAAGTGAACTGGAAGTTCAGATCGAAACAATGCAAAAGTAAGCAAGAATTTAGACTGTCACTGTCCTGTGAGAAGTGACTTGACTCTTCTCCAACACTTTGCTTCTTCTGGGTTCTGTGTGGTAAAGATGCTGTCAGTAGTGCATATGCCATTCTCACGGAGTGAGAATCATGACTCCCTAACATGTATTGCTATTCCCATTTGCACTGTGTGCTTGAGTGTGGATCTGTTAATTCTTATAAATACAGGTACATTGTTCTAAGTAGAAGTGGCACTTGTCAATTAAACAAGAATATGAACGAAGCAAAGTTTATTATGTAAGTGTTTTAAAGTCTGAAAAATTATTATCCCATAATTCAGGGGACTAAAGTGCTTAACAGAGTAAATTAATGAGCAAAATACATACATTTGTTCTTTGACACTGCTGCTAAGGAACAATGACAGACCCTAATATTTGCTTTAAGTTTTGTTTCTGTGCTGTTCATGGAGAACTAACAGGTGATTTTCTTCTAAAGATGAGGTGTCACTGCCTCATGTGACCCTTCCTTTAAATGTACGTGTATGTGTGTCTGTGTGTGTGTGTCTGTGTGTGTGTGTGTGTGTGTGTGTGTGTGTGTGTATGTGTGTGTGTGTGTATGTGATGGGCAGACAGGCATCCTGTGGGTGACAGTCTAGCTGACGTCATCAGTAGGTATTTCTAATCCTGACCGCTTTGCACATAGCCCTGGGTCACCACTCCTGTTCCCTTGCTACATCTGTCCTGCTGCCTCTCTGTGCCTTTTCCAGTTTAACGAGTGTACCCTACCAGAATAATTTTAAAAACACTTATAATCTGTTCTTTGAATGAAAATTTCCATGCTTTCACTTATTTTATAAAGGCAAATTGTTAATCTTTTGGAAGATTTGAAAAAAATGGAAACTCATGGAAAAAATTCATGTGATGAGATCCTTAGAAAACTTCACTCACTTGAAGACGAAAACAAACTGCTAAACATTGAGAATGTGAAACTAAAGGTAATGTGTGTGTGCACATGTGTGCATGTGTGTGTGCATACTTAGTAGCAGTGTCTTGGGTTAAAGGCAATATTGGGTAATGGGTAATGCTCGTGTATTGTTTTGTCTTTTATGTTTCTCATGATACTGTATTATTAATTAGATAATTTCTAGATACACAGATAATGTCTGTTCATGTATGAAAATCTTAAGATTTTTAGTTACAAATGCAAAAATAAGTTTAAATTACATTTAGCAGGACAAAGCAAGGCTTATGAGGCTAAACAACTCTCTCTTTGTCTCAACTTTAAAACAGTTTATTTACTCTAATTTTAGCAGTGAATCATTCAAAATTGCATTAGCTTTACTGTGCAAAATTTGTAGGTGTCATGGTTACCATATGATACACCATCAGGCTGGGTCTGTTTGAACCAGAAAAAAACCAGAAAGTATGTTCTTGGCTGCTTTATAACCAGAAAGAATTTCCAATGGAGCCAAGTCCAAGGAGTGATTGGTTTATATGTGTCCCAGAGAAGAGATGGGCGAGGAAGATTTTAGACTTTCTGAGAAAAAAGGAACCTGAGTTCTTAGACACAGACACGCCTGTTGCTGGACGGGACTTGACTGTGCATGAGGGCACCGTTCTCAGCTCCACAAAACAAAAATCAGAAGAGAAGCATCTGAACTATGAGATAAATAATCTCCAAATTCCCCAAGACTCATGTGCTAGAAACAGAAATGGAAGTTTAGAAAGAGTAGAAAAGAATTGAATGTCATCCCTCACCCCCTCACCACCCCACCCCATGGCTAAGGGAACTTCAACAATTATGAAATTCAAAGCCTGGAATCCTGTAATTTTTCTAAAACTCCATCAATAAATGCCTAACAAGTCCACTGAAATTTTCCTAATGTGAACATAATTTTAAACAGCCAGTAATCATAATCATTTCAAGAAAAGGAAACAAGTGTGTTTCTAATGCAAAGAAAAGAAAATGCTTCATTTCTTAAAAGATGAAAATTCCAGCAATTCTGCTTCCTGTCCCCACTCTTGTCCTGTGCAGGAGCTCCTCTGCATCCCCAGCAGCCTCAGTGGGCTGGTCTCCAGGTGTCCTGGAGTGTCATGGCTGCCTTTCCTTGAGCCTACAGTGCCTGCTTAGTTGGGAGCTCTCATTTTGTTAGAATATATCATTAAATTTTTCAGCCTTGAAAAAGAGAAAATAGGAAGAAGTGATGTAAAAAGGTTTTACATGTCTGAAAATACCTTTATTCTGCCTTCATTGCCTGACTCCCCGAAGATATAGCATCTCAGAGAGAGGATGGCCTTTGCTTTAGTGTCTTTTGCAATCACATTTGTTAATAGAAAACAATCAGTTGCTAGTCTGATTCTTATTCTGTGGAAATACTACATCAAATTTATGTTAAATTTTCAAAATATTCCTTTATGTTTGCTGCATTTAGATTTCAGACACATTGGTATAGGTATGTTGTGTTGTGTGCTGTGTCTTTGGAATGCTCTCTCTTCTCTCCTTTTCCATTTTCTTGAGTTCAGGATTACTGCTGAATGTACTGATGAGCTACTGACCTGGACTAATTCTTTGTTTCAGTCTCTGTTTTTCTGTAGCTCTTTGGGCAGTGGGGGATAGATTTTGTATAAAGCTCTGGACCACCTGCCTCGTGAGTGGTGCTGCCACAGTCCGCTGGGCCCTCCTTCATCACTTAATAATCAAGACAACCCCTCACAGTTATCTCCACAGGCCAGCCTGAACCCGGCAGTTCCTCAGTTGACTGGAGACCGGGTTGAGATATTTGAGTTTTTAAACTTTGCCTTCTTCTGATACATCCCAATGCATATGGAGTTGTCATCAGCTCCTTTGTCTTACCCCGTTGGAGCTGCGCCTCAGGAAAGCACACAGTGCCCGTGGTTTTGCTGTTGCTGCCTCTTACCCACTCTGTGCCATATGCCAGTATCTATGAAACGTGTGCTAACTGGAGAGTGGCCTTGCCAGTCTTAACATCGCAGTAGAATTTGTGCCGTTCTAAAGTCACATAGGTTTGTCTGGATCTTCTTTCATATCTTTATAATTAAAAACATTTAATTCATTTGATGCTTCTTTAGCAGTGGGCCAAGGCAGGTTGATTAACCTGTTTTCTAGTAGTTGTAGTTTTTTCAAGGTCTATTTACAGCCCATGTTTTCCCTAGTGGTTTAAAACCCAATGTTGACCATATGGTATGTTTTATGCATTCTTCTTTTCCTTTTCTGCTGTCTTCTATGTTCTTAGTATCTTGACAACTTATATATTTCAGTATCTAGTAAGCACAGATATTGTGCACTTTGTATCATTTATACATTGTTTAATCTTTCCTGTTTTTAATTTTGAGACTGGGTTTTATTAAGTAGCCTCTGCTGGCCTAGACCTCGAAGCATTCCCCGCCTTTGCCGAGTTATTATGGGGTTTGTGGTCATGTGCCACCATGCCCATCTGGTGTATGAGTTTTGAGTTAACTTTTTCATACCCCTCCAGCTCTCATGCTTTTCAGTTGAGATTGAAAAGTGTTAAATGAAAGTGGAAAACTTGACATGTCAACATTATTGATTCTTTATACTTAGAACACAACTTATTTTCAGCTCTCTTTTATTTGTCAGTAAATTTTTAAAAAATCTGTCATGTGTACTGATTAAATTTATTCGTGAGTATTAGTTATTAATTTTAGATGGCAACTATATGCCATCAAAATGATGTTGATAAATGAGGTATGCTTACTAATTCTTCAGCATGGACTCTAATGTTCTGTTGGCTGAACAACTCCATCAATCATGAGTTTCTTTCTAGGGTATGCTTGACACTTTGAAGGATGAAGTTGCTTCTGTTGAAAATGAGCTCGTAGAATTACAAGAAGTAGAAAAACGACAGAAAACTCTCATCGACGTATATAAAACTCAGGTGACTTGCATCTGTTTAATGTTTATTAGCATCTGTAGGTGACATCAAACAGTGTGACTCAAGTCGACAAAACTGAAGAGATGGGGCAAATATCTGTGACATAATACAGTACATCTCAAACTTTCCTTAAGACACCATATGCCTTCCTAGAGGTAGTCTTGCCAATTCATGGTGCTAGCCCTACTTATGGAAATATTAGATATTCCCAGAAGGAAATTTAAAATAGGTTGCATAGGTGTGATGAGAATCTCAATGTGGAGTCTCATTAGTATGTTTAATAGCATTGATTTAAAACAATGACTGTCACCTAGGGTCATGAAATCCAGTACTCCCTTTTCCTCATAAATAATGTATAACTGAAATTTATCCATGTGAAATACATAGAAAGAAACATATGAGACTTGGTGAGATGACTCAGTTGGTAGTGTGCTTGCCATGCAACCATGAGGACCTGAGTTTGAATCCCCAGGTCCCAACTACAAAGCTGAGCACAGCAGTGTGTAACCCAGCATGGGGGGGGGGAGGGGGGGAGACATGGATCCCTAGAGCTCCTGTTCAGCCAGCTCAGCCAAATTAGTAACTCATTTCAGTGAGAGACCCTGCCTCAGAAAATAGGGTAGACAACGACAGAGAAGACACCTGATACCAACCTCTGACATCCACACAAAAGTGCACACACATGTACCACAGATACACTGTTACAATAAATCTTTCTGCCAAAAGCCGCAGAAATCAAATGTATTTTAGCAGCAGTAATTCTTTCCTCGGCAATCAAACAATTTAAAGACATTTAGTATCCAGATTCTCTGTAATTTTCATCTCTAGGTGGCTTTTTCACTATTCTACTTTTACTTCCTTTTGTTTCTTCTTTTCTGAGACAGGGTTTCTCTGTGGAAATCTGCCTGCCTCTGCTTCCTTCAGCAAATCCTACCGGCATTGGCCACCACAACCGATTACTCTATTTCCTCCTGTTACTTTTTCTCTCACAAGCCTACATATATTTTTAAACATAGTGTAAACCTTTAGAGGTTTTTTTTTTTTTTTTAATCTGGATCTGTCTTTATCATCTCAGAAGTGCTGAGTACAATGCCCAAGAGCACCGGGACGGAGCGAGCATATGGAAGCTGCTCCAATGCCTCTCAGCGGCCCGACAGGGCAGACACAGAAACTTGTATTAGGTTCAAATCTGCTTGGCCAATGACTAGGATTCTCATCTGTTAGCTCAGTCTTAACTATCATAAATCTATATATTTTATAAGACTTATCTTATCGGATGCCTTATTGGTATCCCTCCTTGCCGGTAGATCACATCCTGCCGCTGGAGGAGGAAGGAGAAAAAAGGACCCTTTCTGTTTCTCCTTCGCTTAAATATGAGTCTCCTTGCTATGTCATTTCCTGTCTGGATCACTTCTCTACTACATTTCCTAGAATCCTCTTTGACTCCTAGTCTTGCCTAACTTGCCGTTTCATTGGCCAAACAGTATTTTAGTTAACAATCAATAAGATAAGCATACACAGTACATTCCCCATCAATACATGAAACAACATATGGTGGTTTATCTAAAATAGGATGCATATCCAATGGTAAGTTATAGCTAAGCTTTCAGTTTTAGAAATGCAGTATTGAAGGAAACCTTTGTGGAAAAGGCTAGAAGTACACAGATACTGGCATGATGGGAAGCAGATTGGTTATGAAAGAAAAAGCTGTTATGGGAAGAGTGTGAATTAAAGAAGAGTGATGGACTTGGGTGTGGTATCATCAGAGACTCTTGCTTGGCAAGTATGAGGCCTTGGGTTCAGTCCCCAGCATTGTTGGAAGGAGGAAGGAAAGGAAATGTATGAGAGTAAAGTGTAGCAGCAAGAGGAGCTGCATGTAGCTGGCTTGGGAGGCAGAATCCAGTTGAGATACCCAGCCAAAGTCCTGCAGGCAGGGGGAGCCCATGGAGGCTGCAGGACTGTGTCCTGCCTGCTTGTTTGGGTTTAAGGTCTCAGCAAGAATGCGCCATCTAAACGTACCATGTTGAAGCTGCTGTGCAGTGTGCACAGCTCACCCATGTTCTTTGGATGGATTTTGATTTGATGGGAAAGATTAATGGAATGAGAATTGTTTTTTTTTCTTTTATTGAAAATAGATTTTTTTCATTTAATATATCCTGATTACTGATTATGTTTTCTTTTCTCTCTCTGTTCTTCCTAGTTCCTCCTCACCTCCCCACCCATCCAGATCCACTCCCTGTCTGTCTCTCATAGCAGGCTTCTAAGGGATAATAATAAAATAAAACAAAATATATTAAAATATAATAAGATAAAAGAAAAACTAACACATCAGAATTGGACAAAACAATCAAACAGAAGGAAAAGAGCCCAGGAAAAGGCACAAGAATCAGAGCCCCACTTGTTTGCACATTCAGGAATCCCATAAAAACATTAAAGTGGAAGCCATAATATATATGTGCGAAGGACCTGGTACAGACCCACGCAGGCCCTGTGCAAAAGGCCTTGTTTTCATCCCCTCTAGCTCTTACATGCTTTCTCTCTCCTCTTCTGTGGGGTTCCTTGAGCCCTGCAGCAAAGAATTTGATGGAGACACCCTTTTAGGGCTGAGTAGTGCAAGGTCTCTTACTCTGCATAATGGCTGGCTGTGGGCATCTGCATCTGTTCCCATCTGCTGCAGGAGGAAGCTTCTCTGATGCTGGCTGAGCATGGCACTGATCTTAGTGTAGTAGAATGTCATCAGGAGTAGTTTTTATTTCTACTTTTTCGTTTGTTTACTTAGAACAGTAGTATTTGGTTTTACCCTAGGTTCCTGGGCTATCTAGTGTCAGGTTCTTGGTCACCATGCAGTGTCAGGTATGGATTCCATCTCTTGGATTGGGTCTTAAGTTAAATCAGATATTGGTGGGTTTCTCCCACCAGCTTTGTGCTTTCATTGCCCTAGTAATCTTGCAGGCAGGACACCATCATGATTAAAAGGTTTATGGTGTTGACTTTCTCTTTGGTACTGTGCAGAGAACCTCCCTGTACCAGAGATGCTAGAATGTACTGAAGGCTCTTTGGGCACCAGCTCAACTTCTCAATGTTCAGTGAGCTGTGAGGTGTTGTCTTCAGCAATGGAGCCCTGTCAGTTTGTAGTGTATTGTCTTGGCAACAGCCTGGGCTGTTTGGGGATTCCCCTGTGATTTCTTTCCCAATTCTGGTACTGGAAGCTTTGTTTAATGACAAAAGACAGTTAGTAACTTGCTCTCCCCCATTATGTGGAGATTTCATTTAGATTGCCTACATGTATGTATATTTTCAAGAAGTTTCTAAACTATTAGGTTTCTAAAGTATTGGGTAACTCAAGTGACCCTTAATTTTAGATGTTTCTCCCTCTATTCCCACACTTGTCTCCCCCACAACTTGATCCTCCTGTTCTGGCTCACCAATCCATAACTATCTACTCTTTTTTTAACAAGTGATACCTGTCCCTATGGTCCCTTACTTTTTACCTACCCTCAGTAGTTCTGTGGATTGTAGCTTGGTTATCATTACCGTAACAGCTAATATCCACACACAAACAAATACATACCACATTTGTCTTTCTGGGTCTGGGTTACTTCATTCAGGATGGTTTTTTCCCTAGTTCCATCCATTTACTTGCAAATTTATTATTTAATTTTTAATGGCTAAGTAATATTCCATTGTGTAAATGTACCACATTTTGTTTATCCATTCTTCTGTTGAGGAACATCTAGGTTATTTCCAATTTCTGGTTATTATGCATAGATCAGCAATGAACATGGTTGAGCAAGTGCCTTTGTAGTAGGATGAAGCATCCTCTGGGTATATGCCCAAGAGTGGTAATGCATCAATTCCCATCTTCCTGAGGAACTGCCACACTGATTTCCATAGTGACTGTACAAGTCTGCATTCCCACCAGCAATGGAAGAGTGTTCCCCTTGCTCCACATCCTTGCCAGTATGAGCTGTCACTTGTTTCATTGATCATAGCCATTATGACAGGTGTAAGAGGAAATGAGAGACAAGTTTCTTAAAGCAGCAAAGACCTGGAAGTGAAAATGGATGTAATCTTTAGAGCTCAAACAAAGGGCATAAAAGTGTCAATCAGAGAAGACAGGAAGATAATGAAGACATTGTTAGAACTGAACACTGAGAGATTCTGTCAGGAGGGATGGTATGTAAACATGTGGAAAGCAGTAGTAGAGAAAGGGTCATTTCTTTACAATACAAATGCAAAGTGAAACAAATGTAAATGCATGCTTTAGCTCTTATTTCATGTTATACTTAAAATATACATGGTACTTTACAGTCTCTGTGTGTGTTTGTTTTAAGGTACAAAAATTGCAAGAAGCAGCTGAAGTGGTAAAAAGCAGATGTAAAAATTTGCTACATGAAAATAACCTAATAATAAAAAATAAAAACAAAAAGTTAGAGAAGGTAAGTTTGAAATTGAGGTAATAAAGTATTTAACATGTGTATATCCATTTGACCCCAACTGTCACACGGCGCTTGATCCTCTCTCATTTCACCAGTGCATGCCTAGGAATGGCCCCTTCAGAGTCTCTAGGGAAATTTTGTATTTCCCCTTGAAGATATAATGTCCTCTAAGTCTTGAAATGTTGTTTATTTGTGAGAATGTCTTTTTACTTTTTTATTCATATTTGAGAAATAGCATAAATGCTTCATTTTTGATGCAGGAGTAGATTAAAAGGGACCAATTATTTTATTATTGAGATCTATCAGCAGTAAAATGCAAACTAGTCTCTCTTTTTTTTCTATTTTTACATTTTTTGTGTCTAAAAAATTGCAAAGTAAATATTCTCTGGTAAATGCATTTTGGGAGGAAAACTGATATCTTGAAAAACTTCTCCTTTTATTCATCCAGTTGCAACAGAAGCAGCAGAAGCCAGTCTTGGCAGGTGACCGTGTTTTTGTGAATATTTTTAGATTTTTAGATGGAACCACATTCCATTTTGGATTTCACATTGTTTTGTTAAGGGAACAGGGAGAGTCGTAGGACACCAGTTCCTGGCTGAGAGGTCAGGGGTGTTAGTGGCCAGAGTCTGTGGCTACTGTTGCTGCATAGCTGGCACATTTTGAGTTTGGGAACATAGAGGGAGATATCACTGTCAAGACAAGGTCAGCCAGGACAGGCCGCCGGGTGACCAAATGAGAAGCCTGTTCCATCCTTAGAGCTACTTCTCACCCATTTTATCAGACCAAAGAAGATGCCATGTCATGTTGTCTATTTCTCACGGGACACATTTTCTCTCCTGCTAGGGAGTGCAGTAAAAGCCCAGTCAAAAACCTGTCCAAAGGCACAAAGGGCAGGAACATGGTTTTCCAGCTCCTGTCATTATAATGTTTTCTGGTTGTAGAAGTAGAAAAGTATGTTGTTTTAAAAAAGAAATTCTTCTTTTCATTTATCCACTGCTTGAGTCTCCTGATTTTCTCATGGCTTCTTGGCCGTTTTAGGGATTCAGAGGTGCACTTTATTCTGGTTTTATCTCTCGTTTTCAAGATGACCAGATGTTGCACTGACACTTTGGGTGTCTCTAACTCAAGCAAGTTATTCCTCTTGCACTGCCTCCACGGGAACATGCTAAATGTCACTTTTTAGTTCTGCAAGTTACACAGAGCAGTGTGGCATTCTTTAGACAGCATCATTACACCCCTGTCCATAATTTACAGGGGTGCTGCACTGAGAAAGGACAAGAGGTGAGGGGGGTTCTGTGGGTAAAATTGAACTTGCTCACCTGGCAGGACAGTGACCTTATACAAGTGGGAACTGATGTGTTAGCTGTCAGAAGCAGTGCTCAGTGAACACTTATTTGGGTCAAGAAGTCTCAAAGGACATGTGTGACCTATAAGGTGTTATCAAGCGATGGCCGCTGGAGAGCTGAAGATGAACCAGTGGAGAAGAGCACACCAGTTTCCCAGTCACTTCCACTGTGTGTGACACCTGAAGTGGGCTGATGTCACCATGCTTACTTGCCTGACAACCATTTTGAAAATGAATTAATTTTGGTTATATGTCTCATGTAGATTAACACCTGTAAAGTACTTATTAATAACAAGCATGTCTAGTCTTTAAGATAGAAAGAATATTCCTGCCAAATGTGTGACCTTGCGTTTATTTCCCCTGATGTCACAACTCAGATGAGAGGCCAGGTGGAGGCTCACTTGAAGCAGGTAGAGCGTGCCCTTCACGAGTGTCAGGAGAACCTGCAACGCTACAAGCAGAAGTGTGCAGAGCAGGCGCACACCGTTAGGGAGCTTCAGGGCCAGGTGTCCCATCGTTCTGAGTCCTGGAAGATGGGTTAAAGGAAGGAGCATTTGACATCATTTCGCCAGTCGGGGGCACTCGTGTTGGGTTGTATCAGTGGATGAAAATATTTTCACGCAGATGTTCTGCTGTTACCCTTTGGCGTGTCCTGGGGACACGGGTGACTGAAGCAGCTGCTGTAGGTTATTTCTGTGAGTCTGCGTGTGGACTAGGAGGACAGAGTGTGGAGATGCAATGGGAGGAGGAACAAAGCTGGGCTGCATGTCTGTTTCTTGACATCAGCATACACACGACAAGTAATAGTTTACCTTACAACAATTAGAATGCATTTTAATTAGAATTGTGTGTCAAGCTTATTGGGATTAATTCCATCCGTTTACTTGGTGCCTGTTAATCTGTGAGAACAGGGACCGTGCGAACCCTCTTAATCACCATGCATTTACCTCCTCCCTCGGTGCTCATCAAACAGTAAGCACTCATCCATGTTGTAGGGTTACTTCCTGTTTTCTTAAAGAGGCATGTTTGTGCCTGGTAGCCAGTCTGTTTCTTCCCTTACAAGACACTTTCCTTTATGTCTTCCAAATGAATGTATTCAGCTTTTAAAAACAGTAACAAATTTCTAAGAAGGAATTCTAGGAAAATAATCATTATAGTTTACTTAAGTTACTGCTTCATGAGAAAAGGTGTTACTTTATGGGTATGGGTGTTTTGTCTGCAGGTCTCTGCAGCACATGCATGCAGTTCCCAAAGTGGCCAGCAGATGGCATCAGATTCCCTAGGACTGGGGTCATGTGACGGTTGTGAGCCACCATGTGGGTGCTGGGAATTGAAGCTGGATCCTCTGGAGGAGCAGCCAGTGCTTTTAACTGCTGAGCCATCTCTCCAGCCCTGATGAGAAAATATTTTCATTATAAAGCTCCTTTAACTATTTAAATGAGGCTTTGAAGCACTGGGAAGAATAGTCTTGACTTGGGCAGTCATGTCTTCGCAGACAATTGTCAGTAATTTCAGTGCATCATTATTGATACGAGAAACCTTAAAAATGTTTAAGATTTTCACACACATTTTTTCTTTTGTCTTGTTGTCATTTGGTTTTTGAGGCAGGGTTTTGTGTAGCTCAGACTGGCCTCAACCTAAGGATGAACTTGAATTTCTCATTCTCTTTCCTCTACTTCCTGAGCTGGGATTGCAGCATGAGCCACCACACCTGCCTTTATGTAGTGCTGGGTTTGTGCGTGCTAGGAAAGGTGTTGGCAGCTGAGCGACATTCCAAAACTAAATGTCACTTTTCAGTAAAGCATTCATTGGTCAGGATATTTTAATTACCATTACACAGAAAAAAAAATGTTAATTTTCTGACATAGACAATGTCAGTCTTTCAGACTCATTGAGGAGCTGGAGAACTTGTGTGTTGGCATTTAAATGTGGCTTGGTGTCTTTCTGTGTATTCATATCTTCTTGTTTCTTGTTCTAAAATGTGTTATTTCCTTGGACATCGATGAAAACAAATAACTGAAAAAGTGTTTGTTTGTTTTTCCCACTTAGGTTGATGGAAACCACAGCCTTCTAACCAAGCCTTGTCTTGAGGAGGAGAATCATCTCATTCAGTTGAAGTGTGAAAACCTTAAAGAGTAAGCATCAAGTTGATAAAATTGATGTTGCATTTTACCCACCACTAAACTTTATATATGTGTGTGTCTGTTTGTGATATATCACACACACACACATATATATGTATATATAAACACATATATGCATATATAGACATATATATACATATACATACATACATGCATACATACATATATGTTTCTGTAAAAAGAAAGCTAGAGCAGATGGATGCTGAGAATAAAGAGCTGGAGAAGAAGCTGGCTGACCAAGAGAAGTATCTGAAGCACAGCGACCTGGAGCTGAAAAAGAAGGCTGCAGAGTACACAGTGCTGTCCAGGCAGCTGGAAGCCGCTTTGGAAGAAGGGAGGCAAAAGGTACAGATGGCTGTTATTTAGAAGCTTTTTAATTAGTTTGCCAGAGTCATCTCCCATTGCCAAACCTACAGTTATTGTTTTTATGCTGATGACAGGGTGGAGGGAGCTGCTCCATTTTGTTCTTTACTTAATTTTCCCTCAGAATAAAACAGAGCTGTTCCTGGGCCAGGACGGCCCTTCCAGATGAGCGGTGATGTGTCAGGGCAGTGGGCAGGGATGGGAAGGGTCTGGAGTGTGACCCTCCACACACCCGTGTCCTGTGTGTGTGTGCTTGCATGCCTGTGTTTGTGTATGTGTGTGTATGTGTGCTCGCGCATGAGTATTTGTGCTTGTGTGTGTGCCTGCGTGTGTGCTCATGCATGTGTGTGTATGTGTGGGTGTTTGTGCATGTGTGAATGCATGCATGTGCACGTGTGCATAGTTGAGTAAATAAATAAATAATTACAGGTTTGGTCTTGATTGAGATCCAGTGAACTCTGAAGTTCAACTTTTCTGGGGCAGACACAAACAAGCACATATAAGAATTGCATTCCATTTAAACCTGTTAAGCTGGCATTCAGCCTGCCCAGCTCCTTGGAGTGTGGGCACTTTGAGAGTGCTTCACAGGCAAAGATGAAAAGGCCAGACCTGAGCTCTTGGGGCACTCAGTGTAGTATGGATGTCATCTTACCTACAGGTTCTGTAGAAGTGGGCTAAAGCGATGCCATAAAAAGTGGGTATTTCAATCAGAGTGGAAGGGACTGGTGGGAGATCTCAAAGAAGAGATGAATTTAACAAACAACTTGATTGAAAGAGACTAATGGAAAGAGGCTACATTTCAGGGTCAGGTAAAATCTTGACACAAGGCAATCTCCCAGGAATCTACAAGGATGGCCCAAGCTAAGACTCCTAGCCATAGTGGCTATGTAGCCTGGCCATCTCTTGTGACCAGATTGGTGCCTGGTCCAGTTGTCATCAGAGAGCAACTGATGGAAACAGATGCAAACCCACAGGCAAGCACTAGGAGGAGTTTGGGGGATCCTGCGAAAGAGGGGTAGGAAGGGTTGTGGGAGCCAGAGGGGTCAAGGAAAGCACAAGAAAACCACAGAATCAATTCATCTGGACTCACTGGGGCTCACAGAGACTGAACCGACATCCAAGGAGCCTGTGTGGGACAGACCCAGGCACTCTGCATATGTTACCGTTGTATAGCTTGTTCCTCTCATGGGACTCCTAACAGTGGGAACAGGGGCTGACTATGACTCTCTTACTGGCTTTTGGGAACCTACTGCTCACACTGGGTTGCCTTGCCCATAGGGAGGTGCTTAGTCTTAGTGCATCGTGATATGCCATGTTTTGTTGATACTCATGGGCGTATCAATGCCTTTTCCTGAACAGGAATGGAGGAGGAGCGGATTAGATGTAGGAACAGAGGGAGGTGAGGAGAGAGGGATTAGGAGGAGAGGAGGGAGGGGAAGCTGGTCAAACAAATACAAAACCAACAACTTGAAATCTACATTGAGAGACCATGGGGTGAGCTTTGGAGTCCCAGCAGCTGGATTTGGATCCTGGCTCTGATGCATGGTACCCTCACCAAGGACAGGCCGCCTCTCTAATCAACAAAATGAGGCATGTGGTTTCCCTTGTAGGATGTGTGAGTCTAAAAAGTGACCATCTCAAGCCTGGGGACTCTACTTTACTTAACACTGACTGGCTAAACCTGACATGTCTAAAACTAAACTTTGAATCCTTCTCCTAACTCTCTTTTATTTACTGTATTCCTCAAAGTCCTTAGTGTCAGTTTTGTCAAGGCTAAACTCTGGTGTCTTCCAGGGTTTTGAATTTTCTTAAGCTCAGAGAAACCAATTTAAGTTGATCTTCAGGGACACACCATTGAATAAAAGCTAAATAACCAGGGGCTGTGCCAGTTGTAGACATGCTCCACAGATTTCTCAGTCCCTCACCTCTGGAAAGAAATGAAAGCTTTACCTTTGGTTCAGCATAAGGCCTTGGCAATGCCAGATGCTCTCGGACTTTTTCCCAAAGTGGCCAGAATCCCCAGAAGTTGCCTGCTCTTTCCTGACTCCTACACTGGTGGAAGGTGGTGATGTCTCTCATTTCTGACCACTTGACAAGGACCATCATAGCCTTGTCTGTCACCCTTGTCCTCATTGAGGGCAGAGGTGTTTTCCTAAGCCCCCTCCCATCCTGGTTTCAGAGCTCACTGCTGTCCTTTCCTGCTGCCTTTGAGGTCTGTGAATGGGGCCACAGTAACTTACAACCGAATCCTCGGAGTACTTGCTGTCCCATCAGTGCTTCCTGCTTAGCTCTTTGTTCTGGACTTACCCCGACCTCTGTTTTCACACTTGTGGCTCCAAACTAACATTCTTACAAATGGGCTTCCTCTCACCTGGATCTCTGATGAACATAGCTAGACTAGACTTTGTGCTAACATAAGCAACCAAGAGAAATAGAAAAACTCAGGTTCAGGCTGCATTGAAAGTGGAGGATGAGGCACCTGCCTCGTGTGTCTGTCTAGGTGCTGGTGCACACTGCCCCTCCATTGGCTATTCAGATATAGAATCAGTGTGCAGTGAGACCCAGCTTTGTTCCACCAATCCCCCAGATAGCACAGTGAATATAAATAAATGTGACGGAAAGTGGTAATTAGGCTTAGTATACCTGAAAACTGCCGGGGAGATCCCTACCCAAGTCACAAACAGTTCGCAAGCCACACACCTCTCTATCTCAAGTTAATTTTCCAGATACTTGTGATGCATAAACACACATATGTTGTCTGTGCTTCTTTAAATTAAACTCCTCATTTTCCCCCTTTGCAGTGCTGGGGTTGAACCCAGGGCCTTGCACATGCTAGGAAATCATCTACCACTGAGCTATATCCCCATCTCAAGATAAAATACATTGAATATTTTCTAATGGAACTGTCCAATACCCAATTAATATCTACTTGGGAAAAAAGTGGTATACTATGATTATATGAGTACTTCAAAATATATTTTAATGAAGGCACATTTAGTTATTTTATTCTTTTAATGAAAATTACAGGTTTCTGAAGAAGTAGAGAAAATGTCATCTAGAGAGAGGGCTTTGCAAATTAAAATATTAGATCTGGAAACTGAGCTTAGAAAGAAAAATGAAGAACAAAACCAACTTGTTGGCAAAATGAACAGTGTAAGTATTAGCATGGCTTTATTATCGAAGTGAGCATTTAACATGTGCTCCATGTAACTTCGTTTTCTTCTAAAAACATAGCTGGGGGTGAGGCAAGGGTTTTGTTTTACTGCTACTGTTAGAAATGACAAATAATAAAATTGCAAAACTGTGCTGTCTCACTCATGCCAGAGAATTCACCACCGTGCTTTGTGGCAGCTTGAGTCTCCCTGAAGCCGCACCAGGCCATTCCCTGCCTGGTGTCTTTGTGTAGCAGCCACTCAGGGAAGGCGCCACATAGAAGATGTGTAATTATCATTTAAATTTTATTTATTTGAATTTTCATCTTTTAAAGATACGTGCAATTTAAAGTTATGAACTAGATTTTATATCTGTCTTGATTAATGAATATATCTTAGGAAGATATGATTTTAATATTCACCATTATCCAATCTGCATAAGAGCTGGATGCTTTGATCCACTCAGCCGTGAAATGAGAATACCAAATTGGCTCTGTTTAATTAGTCTCATATTTGTACTGAATATTCATGAAATAGTCTGTTGGCATAAGATAATCTTGCAGCTGACATTAGTTGTGCTTAAATTACTTAGTAACTGTCTACTTGATAATTACATAGAAAATATTGGTACTTTATTTTTTCCAGGAGTTGGACACTCTGTAAAAACTTTTTTTCATTTCCCCTAAAAAGATGTAAACCTAAAAGATTCAAAAAGTTATTTTGACATACACTGTTTAGTCTTACTGCCTTCAGACATTTAGTGAAAATTTAATCAGAATAAAGCATGCATCATTTTTAATTTAATACAGCTGTTTGCTGGGTTTCTAAACCTAAAAACAAAAACAAATAAACTCCCCATCAGGATTCCCGATATTATAAAGTATGTGTGATGTTCTTTGTGCATTTGTGAAGCCCCTGAAAAAATAAACTGAGATGAGATGGGTTTCTTTGTGCTGCGTTTAGGACTTTGCCAAAGCCACTAAAATAAATAGGTTCAGATCTGATGTTAAATCTCAATCTAGAATTGTGAGCCCGAGTTCAGAAACAGCTAGAGATGAGTTAATGTGTCCTGTACCTTCCAGGGCCCCGACAGCTCAGTGGGCAATTAGCATTCAAATGCACACACATTAGCCAGAGTTGGCCCTAGCTGACTGTCCCTGGTGTCCTTCACAGTACACTGCCTGCCCTGTGGGCCTTCTCATGGTTTTGGTCCAAGTACTTTGGTTGGGAGGTGGGGTAGGTGCACAGCTTGAAGGGTGATCTCAGAGCTCCACAACCATGGCATCCCTACTGAAGAAGCCACAGTGCCTTTCAGACTTTACTCATGGTCCCAAAGTCCATTGCACTTACATTCTGCCCTGCAGTGTGTGATTGCATGGCTACTGTTTTCTCCAAAGTGAAGCTCCATGAAGACCAGCTCCAGCCCACTGACTTTGCCACAAGCTACCTGCCTCTTCTCCTGGGCACTGCTCAATCTCGGGGTGGGGACACCTGCTGCGAGAAACACAAAGGGGCTTCTTTCTCTGTTTAGGGTTTAGCCAGAACCCATCTTACCTAAAGCATTTGCAGTAAGCAGCCCAGCTAGAAACCTGTCACAACCAGAAGTTCAAAAGTTGTGTGAGTTTAAAACTTCTTTCTCAAGTGTCTCGATTAAGTTTTTGAAAGAGTTTAGGAGCAAATCTTCACCTTATCAAAGCTAGGATTTTGTCAGTTTTTAAAACAGCTTCCTTTCTGATGGGGTTTAATGGTACAGCAGACTATTGAGCTGTGTAGACTTTGTGTCTGGTTAATTTTGGTGCTTGCTATTTTTACTTATAATGCAAAGTTTTCATAATAAAGTTTATAAACTAAATTTAAAGCAGTGAAGTTTTTGTCAGAGAAATGGCAAAAAGGAATATGAAAAGTTGTCATGTTAAACATAATAGGACTAGTAATGACTGCTCTAAATAAAATCATCTTAATCACATTAAATCTGTAATAATTTAGGGCTAAATAAATGTATTATCATAAGCTATCCAAGTAGAATGATCAACCATTTATGCTTTAATCACTAAGGATAGTGTTTTAGGGAAGATGATACTTAAAAATTCTTTGGGAGAAACTGACTTATTTGGTTACCGCATGTATGTTTATAGGTCTTCATCTTGCATATGAGTGCCGTATTGACGATCTGTTCTCTCTTCATGTAGAAAGCCCAGCACCAGGATATTTTGCTGAAAGAAATACAGCACAGTCTTGAGAAGTCAGAGAACCAAAATGAGAGCATTAAGAACTACTTGCAGTTTCTTCAGATTTCCTATGTAACAATGTTTAGATAAATTGTTGAATTTATTGACCACTGATTGTTATACCTTATGATTTATAGCTTAGCAGTGTTATACTTTATGAATTATAGCTTACCAGTGTTAGAATTTGCATGTGAAGATATTTGAGACATAATTTATTATCTGATTGAAACTTGAAGAAATGATAGTTCTTAGTGTTCCTTTGTGCTAGATAATTTGCACTGAACTCTGGCTTCATTCTTTTTAAAAATATTAATTTTTAAAGTATTTTTCTCTATGCAAAAATAAGAATTATTCTTATGAACCATTGGAGTAAATTTGTAATAAATCTAGGCTAACTATGAGCCAAATACATGGTTTTAAATGATTTATTTACTTCTTTTATATTGTAATGCTATGTAAATAAAATAATAAGATATTTAATTTTAATAATGATAAACATGTTCTAAAGATAGCAAATGTCTCACTGTACTTAATATTGCTTTCAAATGTCTGTTGAGTTTCCATCATCATTTCTATGAGATTTTAAACATAAACTATGAAATCATAGCCATTCTGTGCCAGCTGATGGTAACAGAGGAAAACATGTCAGCCCTTGTTTTTTGTTTTTTGTTTTTTTTAATAGTCATTCAGGCTGTCCTATAAAGCCAGAGCTCCTCTCATTTTGTGTTAGGAATTGTCAGATATTACTACTACAGATACCCTAAAGCCTTGATGTTAACTAAAGGGTCAAAAGCAGAACAACTTCCCAAACAAAATCACATGGATGATCACGATTACTCATTCTTAACACTAGGAGGCTTTGGGATAAGACCTCTTGAAAACCTTCCTACTCTCCTTCAAGCTTCTGACCTTTTCTTCCCACAAATAGTGTGTGTGTGTGTGTGTGTGTGTGTGTGTGTGTGTGTGTGTGTGTGTGTGTGTGTGTTCCTAAATATAAGTTGTTGAGTGTGTATCATGTTACTTGTAGTATGTTTTCAGGGCTGACATTTGGCCCTGGATAACAGTTGACATGCTGTTCCCTGGGGAGGACTGCCTTTCTTCCTGCCAGCTTTCCTTGATTGCCTACAGTTCTTTATACAGGGTGAGGTCTTGTGGGCTTTTCTCGGTCCGCTTTGTTGTGTCTATTGGTGTCATTTTTGTTTAGCTCATCTTTGGGCAGCCATGTTGGTGAGACCTTATGGGTATAGCTTTTGATATTGCTAGGAGACACAATATCACAGCAAATTCTTGATCCCCTGGCTCTTAGAGTCTTTCTAACCCCCTCCCACAAAGTTCCCTGAGCCTGAAATGCCCGAGGGTTTTATATATGTATCCAGACACTTACCTAACTGCAGTGCTGGTAAAGTCAGGGAGACTCTACAACTGCTAATTTACTAAACTAATGTAGTTCCTAACAGCCATCTGTAGACATTTGTTCCCACACCCATAGGTAAGTGCAGTGTTCACCCAACATCAAGGAAACTTCTCTTTGCAACAGATGGAGATTGTTAGACCCCCGGAAAAACTCAGGCCTCCGGGGTCTCAGCCCATGACCTTGGTCACCCCAATCACCCGGCAGATTCAAAAACTTGCTGCAAACTGCATGAGGCTTTATTGTTTTTTTAACCCCATGTTAGCTCGGGTCTTTCATCCACCCGCCATGGCAGATGGCTAGAAAAGACACCTCGAACCGGCTGCCGAGCGATCTTGTAGGGCAGCATAAGGGGAGTGTCTAGGCTCAGGATTGGTGTGCCTCTAGGCTTGGAGGGTTTGCCCTGTGTTGATTGGCCAATTGGTTATTATGGCCCATAGGCCCTCGCAGGGTGGTTGCTATGCTCTGCACGTCATTGCTGTGCACTTGTCCATAAAGCACACCCAGAGCCATAAAGCATAGCGCCACCAGCTAACTTCTGATTGGTTCCTTGCCACCAGGCAGGCACTTAACCTCTAGTGACCAAGGCAAGGTCAGAAAAGCACGTGTCTGGCTGTTATGGCTGCCAAAATGGGGAGCTGGTCCCTTCAGAGATCACAACAGAAAAAAAACAACCAATCAGAATGTCCAGTTGTGGGGCCTAGTCCCAGTGGAATAGGTCTTTATTATTATTAGCATGCCGTCAAAGGGAGATCAATAACCTGTCTGCTGTCATCTCACCCACTGTGTACCACAGTGGAGTCCTTGGAAAGGGTGGATGTGGATTCCAGGGATCTAGTGATTATAACTCCTCTTGGAGAGTGACTGAGAGTATTGTTAAAACTTACTCTTCAAAGATCACCCAGTCTGGCATAGTGGCTCAGGCTTTATTAATATCATAACTTCTTTGGAGGCTGAACCAGGAGGACTTAAAGTTCAAGACCTGTACAAGACTACAGAGTGAGTTGGAAGCCAACTTAGTAAGAACCTGTCTTAAAGAATGAAAACAAAGGAAAGTTTGGATACACAGCTCAGCAATAGGTCACTTACCTAACACAGAAGTTCTGGGTTCAAACCTCAGTACCACAGATAATAAGGTAAAATAATAAATAAATAATGTTAGTAGTAGAGTCACTCATAGAGGCCAAAAGGGTCTCTCTATGTAGCCCAGGCTGGTCTTGAACTTGTGGCTCTCCTGCCTTAGCCTCCCAATTCCTGGAGTCACAGTCATTTCCTACCTCAACAGCTTTTGTTTTGCTTAAAGTAACACAATACAGAATGTCAATTGTTTTTTTTTTTCTCTCACAACTGTCCTTTTACTTTGATTTTGTCCATCTGAGTTCTTTGTTGGTTCTCCTGGGGCCAAAGGAAGTACTTCCAAGGGCTGCTGAACACTTGCTACCAGCCGCTCTCTTCTGGCCAAAAGCAGACACATATGCTATTCTTGTTGGTGTCTCAGGCCCTCCATAATGCTTTGCTATCTATATGTAGGACAAAACAGAAGCATAAAGGAAATGAACTGCAATGGCTGCAGTGTGAAGCTCAAGTTCTAAAGTTGACATTGGAGCTCAAGGCTGCTGCTGGAGAATTCAAGTTCTGCACCACAGCAGAGAAGGAGCACAGCTGGCTCTTAGCTCTTAAGCACTTGCTACAGTCCAGTCCTAAATGTGATCCTTGAGCAACTGTCACTTTTCAGGAAACTGAGAACTTAGACATCAAGGAACTCACCCTCTTCACACAGCTAGCAGTTGGGAGGCATGCCTCTCCACATACAGTCTGTGTCCAGCTCTCCCTCCTTCGTGTACATTTTAAAAATAAAAGCAGTGACTTCTAACAAGGATACACTTATTTATGAGTGGTTTCTGTTGGCGTCCTTAATTATGCATCTTCATCAAAGTAACTTTTGCCTATAGCCTTCAAGTGTCTGTGTCTGCAGTGTGTTAGATAGAATGGGAAAGGAAGAAAGTTGTCTGACAGCATTCCTGCAGTTGGTACTTTGTGATGAGTATCTAGATACAATCTAAGAATGGAAATTTGCCAGATCCTGGGCATTTTACAGTCTGTGTGCTTCTCGTTTTCCCTGGGAAGCACTGAGACCCAGCACCCCTGAGACCTCAGAGTCAGTACCCAGTGTCCCTGAGCAGGGCTTGTCTCCTGTCTTCCCACCGCACACTGTCTCATGGCTGTGGTAGCACATGTGGGGGATTATCTTTGTTACCCATGTCCAGGGCCTTGAGATTTTATTATACAAGTTGTCTTCTGCTGCTCTGTTATCATCACTTCTTCCTGTGATCCTCTCTTAACTTCGGATCTCTGGATGTGATTTCTACGTGACTTGGCCTTTTATCAACACAGGATCTGTCATTAGGCGTCTTGTAAGGTTCCATCTGATTTTTTTTTTTTTTGACCACTAATAAAGTTTTGGAAGACAGAAATTCCCCTTTTCAGTTGGAATGTTGGATTTTTAATCTAAAACTTATGTGTTTCTTAGTTTCTAAAATACTCTTTTGAGTTACGTAATCCCATTATATTTTCATTTCCATCGGGGCCTTTTCTGTCTCTTCCATTGGTTCTACTTAAGTAGGCTTCTCTTATTTTGGTCTGCTGGCCTTCCTGCCTCCCAAGCCTCACAAGTGAGTTTCAAGTTTCCTTGCCTGCTTAAGGCTGTGGTTTTCCCCAACACCTGCCAACAGCCTGCTGTGCACATCTGCTGAGCAGTGCAGACCAAGTGGTGAAAGGTGTGGAGACCTCAGTTCTCATGGCACTCTGAGACACCCCACCATCTGCCGAGTCTCAGCGAGGAACCCTTCTGCCCACAGACTCTTCTGGTTACAGTCAGCCACCCTTTCTCAACTACCAAGACTGGAAAGACGTCACTAGAGAGGCCCCTTGAGTGTCTCTGGGGTCAACAGGTCTGGCGAGGCACACAACAAATGAAGTCTTCGTTCTTTGGAGAGCTGAAAGCATGATCAGTCATGTAAGGTGTGCACTACCTAAAGACTCAGATCTATCTGATGCCCTGTGGTTTATCCACTTTTTTTAAATTTGAAAAATCCCCAAATTTTACTTTCAGAGTGAACACAAAATATTTTTGATTTCGTGTAAGTTGACAGATGTTTGGAGATGCAGGGATGTGGGCCTATGTGCCTTGGTAGGCCGAGGAAACCACTCGGCTTCCTGTTTGTTTTGCTTATTCTAATGCAATTTTACCACTTTTATGCTTTTGTTTTTACTAAGATAAGTACAAGTCTTGAAGACTTGCTAGGTGGGAATAGGAGGGTGGGATTGGGGAGAAGTCAACATCCAAGAATGGGGTGCTGGGGTGTGATTTTCAGAGCTGCAGTCATTGTCGACAAGAGGGAAAGTGAAGAGAGGTTAAGATGGCCGCCACGAGAGTGCGAGTATAGAACGATGGGGGAGCATTGGTGGTGAAGCCGGCCTGCTGTGCCAGCGTGGAGTAGGGCAACTGCAATGTGAAAGAATGATGAACTCTGCCCCCCAAGGAGGTGGCCAGTTCTATCATGGCTTCTCCTCTGACATGCCTCCACTAATGGAGGAGACAGAGTCAAGAGCGGGCACAGAAGTTCAAACTGGGAAGTAGAAATTTGAATGGGAAAGTGGCAATAGACCCCCATGGCAGTAGAATTCCAACTGACAGACTGGCTTTGTGCTCTTTGTGGACACTGGCAGGTGAGTCCCTGAGAGTGACTGCAGAGGGCTGTTCACCGTTGAGCATTGTAGGATCTGGTCTGACAGTCCCAATGACTGATGGAATCCCCTTGCCTGATGCTGAAACAGCAGCTTTGGGGGGTCTGTCTCCAGGGTCTCTCTGGCCTCAGCAGTCTTCCTTCTTCTGGAGCATCTGAGAGGCAGACTGAGAGCTAGATTCCAGCCAGAGCCAGAATTGTAGAAAACTAGACGCTGTCCTGCCTAGTTTTATGTCAGCTTGACTCAAGCTGAAGTTACTTGAGAGGAGGGATCCTTAATTGAGAAAATACCTCATTAAGGTCCAGGTATAGTGTAACGTGAATGTTTCTGGCCTGGCTAGGCCTGGCCACCACTTCAGCCCCAAATGATCACACACTCACTATATTAATTATGAAACTATTGACCACTGGCTAAATTATTAACCCATTTCTAATAATCTAAGAATTTCCACGTGGTCTTCGCTTACCGGACACAGGGTCCTGT